CAAATCATATATCCAAAAGGACCCAAACATGTCTCACTGTTTTCAACACCATATATTTTTGAGTGAAAACACTCAAAAAATACTCACTCTAACCATTAGACACATCTAAATTGAAACTTTTTTTTTTTTTTGTGCGATGACCAATTCAATCAATTTCGGTAATAGTTGTGCATTCCTTGTCAAATACCCAAGGTCAATTTGGTCAAAAACCTTTTAATTAAAGATCGGTGTACCAAAAAATCATAGGACTCACGACTTTTAGCCCCTGCTTGATAACTATAATTTGGGAAAACAATATTTCGAATCGTAATTTTTAGAAGAATGTATGATTAAAAAAGTAAGAATAAGTTTTGAATTTATGTGTAAAATATTCTATGGGAAAATTACCTAGAACCCTATAATTAAAGATTAGTTTTCATAAGTAGGAGAGTTAAGTTAAAAATTTAAATTTTAGATAGCAAATAGGATTATTAATTGTAATTAATAAAAATTTAATTAAACCTTAATCCAAATAATAACCCCCACCCCGATTAATCCCAAACCCAACCCCCAACCCCACACGCACACTCTCCCTCTCTCTACCACACCATATATCTTCTTTCTCTCTAGTCTCTACGATTACTCTGCTTATCCCCACTTAACCCATCTAAGGCGGAGCAGAGCAGCCAGCGGAAACAACAGAGGAAACAAATGTGCACAGCAATGATGAGCATTGTTCGCGAAGCCATTGTGTGCAGAAATTGCTTGGGGGTGGTCTGATTTTTGGAAATGAATGCGAATGTAATGATATGATGGACCAGTGGTTATTCAACGCTAGAACTAGGGAATGACTGGTTGAGATGGTGGGTGTTTGAAGGAATGGTGGTTCGACGGTGGGTACTTGGGAATGTGGATCTGCGGATCGATTGGTTGGTACGGTGGTTCAATAGTGCTTGAAGAAATTGCAAAAGAATCTACACTGCATGTTCATCACTTTTAGATTTGGGATCGTTAAAATCTTTTTTTTTTCTTCTTCTTTTGAGTTGGCTTGTGAAATTTTGTGATTAAGATTTGTAGTCAATGGCGGTCTTTAAGGTATGGCGAGAATTCGTGTTGGTTCTGATGATGGGTGTGATACAGGTGGTGCTGGTTGGTGGATTGCGATATTGGCTTGAGGCGTGTGCAAATTTATTTGTGATGATCCCATGCGACCAAGTATGTGTTTGTCGTGATTGTTTGTGAGTGGTTTTTCGTTGATTATGATTGGTTGTGACTCAGTTACAGTCATATTGATCTGATTACAAGCAATCACACTGAATACAAATTTGGTTACAGTGAATCACATCAAAGATAAATTTGGTCACAGTTAATAACAGGTAATAGAGGTCAGTGAATTTGTTACATACAGTTACAAATTAAACGATACAATCACAACGAAAATAAATTTGATCACAAATAGTTACATAAAACACATGTATAGTCATGAACAATAATTTTGGTCACAGATAAAACTCTGAAGATTTTTCTGCAATGAAGTATAGAGTGAGAATTTGTTTTCAATTTTTGAAGATTTTTCTATTGTCGGAGCAATCGTCGGAGCGATTACTAGAGAGATTGTCAAGTATTTGCCAAAGCAGTCACCGAAGCATATGGCCGCCTCGACGAGGAGAAGGGGTAAGGAGAGGATAGAGATGGAGGGAGAAATAGAAGAGCTTGGATTTGAAGTTTGGTGTGATTAATTATATTATATTATAATTAAAAATTTAATAAATTGATTTACCACCTGATTATTGTAAAGTTTTAAGGAGTTTGTTAGTTTTGAAATATGTTTTTTTATATGTAAGATTTATGTATTGTTCCCATATTTTTATTGTGTGAATATATAGTTAAAAATGAGTATGTAAAAAAAAAAATAGAGTTTTGAAATAATGATTACTATACATCGCTTATTATAAATTTTCAAACATATATTTCACTATGATGAATTAAAATCTACTAATGTTTAACAAAACTAATAGCCTGTTTGGGAGTGATTTTAAGAATTGATTTTTTGACCGTTAAGAGAAAAGTGGGGTCCACCTGTGAGAGAAGAAGTCAAATATGATGGCTGAAATAGTGAAATAACGGTCAAAAAATCAATTTTTTGGAGAAAAAAATCGGGTCCAAACAGGCCTTAAATTGGAACTAACTATCAAATCAAATACAAATAAAAATCTAATTCTTTATTGATTTTTTCTATCTTTAATTAAAGGAGTACAACTACAAGCAAATTGAAGAGTAATAAATGGGCCGTAATGAAAGCAACCTGTTTGTGCCACGTTTTTAAGTGGGCCCATATTTGCCAAGAATGACCCGAAAATAAGAAGAATCCTTCGATCATTTTTCAACATCACTACAAGTCATCAAAATACACACAGATACACGCACTTACCCTCAAATACAGTACAAGCACTTTCACCACACATGCATAAAACTCGTGTCCCCTATTTATTATTATAATTTTTAATTCATAAATCACATCGTATTTTCTTTTCTTCCTCTTTGCCAACACCATTCCATTTCACCCTTTTCATCTCTCCCTATATTCCTTTCTTTCACTGTAAGATAAAAAAGCGAAAAACCATGACTGGTGACGAGGAGTGGGTGGAAGCAGCCATGAGTGACGATAACATGGTGGTGGAGCTGCTGCTACGGCTCAACCAGTCTAACCCGAGGATGTCGGCTACTTTTAAACAGACGGCTTTGCCACTTGAGTGGAGCGTGCGTCAACGCAGGTCTAAGCCCATTGCAATTGACTCCGCCTTCAAACCGGCTTTCAGAGGCAGCCCTACAACGCCACTGTCATGGAGCGGTGCCACCTCTATCAGTGGCGGCTGTGTTGGAAGTGCTGGCACAGTTGACGTTAGCCCTGAAGAGTCCAGCCGATCCTCTGATCCGAAACTCTCCAAACCCACGAGATCTGAGGTTTGTAATTGTGTAGTATATTCATATTTCTCATTTTCAGTTGTTAGCCGCGAGTTTCGACTTTCAATGACGTCAATGTTCAATTGTCAATCAATGTTTCAAATTTTTGTTTGACAAAAATTCCTGCAGTTGTTTGGGCTTTTTAGTCAGTTCACCGATCTGAAGCCGGTAATGTTCTCCGGCCGCCAGAAAATGGGCGACTTTTTCAATGTAAATGGTCAGAGTCACAGGAACACAAGAAGATTGATTATCGAATGACTTGTCACTTTTTCTTGTTACCCCTCTGCCTTACCCATTATCGTTAAGAATGAAATTACAATAACACCCCCTTATCCAAAGGGTAATTTGTCCATCCAATTATTGAATTTTTCTATTTAGGTGCAAAAACAGAAACTGTTGTTTAAAGAATATATTGTCACACGTTTTGGAGTCCAGTAGAGGGGTATTTTGGTCGATTAAGGGCTGTGGATGCTCCTGTTAGCGGTGGCGTGTTTTTATGGCAATATGGTGAAGTTTTGTTAGTGGTTGAGTGCTTAACCTTTTTCCAATTATGGGGACACAATCCAGTGTGAACGGCTGCATCGTGGTTCTGTAAATAATTAGTTGACAAATTTATTAAGAAATATATAATCCCCTGTTCTCGAGATTAAATTTACCTTTTAATGAAGTGGAAGTTGAGAATACTGACTTTATCTTTTTCTTTGGGGTAAAAGGACTAAAGGTGGTGTAGTTTGCTGTGATTTATATTCTTGACAGTGTGTTATGAGAGTTCTTTTTCTATGAATTTTGGGTGACTTTTAACTTGTGGGTCCAAGCAAGTAGATTCGGTTAGATGTTATTGGTGTAGTTTAGGTTTAAATTTTGAAGTAGTTTAAACTTTTTGTTTTTAGAGTTTTATATTATATTAATGGAGGCGTTGTGGTTTAAATTTTACTCTTTGTAGTCCTTTGAATAAATATGATGGAATAAATTATTGCATCTTGCTTATCTGAGCTTTGTTTGAATAAGTGCAATTTCATGGGGCTTTGAAACTGTAGTGCACAACTAAATGTCAAAATATGTGACTGAGTCTGTGTAGCATACGGGCATCTAGCTTTGTCGTATTTATTGAAGGGAGGTAGGGCCGAGTGGAGGGACTCTTTTTGTCACCAATGACTGAACATCTATTTATGTAAGCGGACATGTAATGTATTTCCTAACTGTGGGCTTCCTCATCTCTCTCTCTTACACGAGTGCACACACATAGAGACACATACGAAGAATATGGCTTATGGAATTACCTAAATCTTAGGTGTTTGACGTCAATGGTGAAAGGTACCAGCAAATTTTCATGGAGAAATGTGTTGCTTTTTAATGTCATGGCATGTTTAAATATTGCCTTACTCTGCTGTTAACCATACGTCGTAAATTTTAGGTCATGAAGGACATTTGCATATATTTGTTTCCAAATTCACTTTTACATCGGAAAGAAAATTTGTTTCAGTGTCTGCTAATATGTGAAGCGGATGATGTTCACAAACAGGAAGCAGAACTCTTGTATTGGGATAATTGTGTGATATTCAGAACAATATATGGGCTGTCTTTGTCTAAATTTCAACATCAGTTGACACTGAAACTGGTTGGCGTTTTTAGTCGAATTGATCTTCGTAATTTACTTGTTGAAAGTATCATTCTAGCAGTGTCATTACTGAAATTAAGTAAGTTTATAAATTAATGTTACTTTAAAACTAGGTATTTTGATTAGAAAAGTCAACCGGCATGGATTTCAATAGTAGTCCACTTGAGATTCACATAGCAGCCTTGATCGTCGTTCACCAGCCAATGTGAAAACAGACACTTAATCGCATGGTTGAGATTAATGTTACTGAAGTTCCTTCATAAATTATGTGATAATTTTTTTTTCTGCCATTTTATGCTTCAGGTTAATGGAACTGGTGAAAAATCCACAAAGAGGTCAAGAAAGAAGAAGGTGATTACTGTTGGGTCCATTGAGCTGATGAAGTATATATTAGTTATAAACACGTGGTGTTTATATCATGAAATCCGGGGTTGAAGTTTTTGACAATCCAGTCTTCGGACCATGGACACCTTGAACCATTTAGGATAGAAATCTAGCAGTAAAATTTACAGGACGAACTCTTTTTCCATTTTATCTTTGGAAGCTTTACTTTGTTATAAGATGGTCAACATTTTATCAAGGTTTTGCATCTGAAAATGTAATGAATCAATAAAGAAAACAGAAATAAGTAGCCGCTTTTGTACTTAGATTCGCGAATCTTAGCAATATACTTTGTTTCATGTTGATTTGCAGACCTTGGCAGAACTTCAAGTGGAGGAGAACGTGCTTGATAAGGAACAAGGAGAATTGGAAAGGGTATTCTACTTTTTAATGCTTATATATACTAATTCTCTTAAAATTTCTAATTTTGTCACCGAAATGGCATAGGAAATTGCGGGATTACGCACAAATTTGGAGAAACAGAAGGCTACAAATGATAGTTTGAAGAGAATAATGGTGCAATAACTTTGATACATTCTTCCCTTGTCCCTTTATATTGCAATCATTATTATTTTCTGAAAATGTGGTGACTGACATTGTTCTTCTGAACAGCTCGAATTGGCTACTAAAAGAAGATCTATGATTGAAACCGAGAGTCAATTCCAGCAAAATTCTGAAGCACGTCATCATATTCCTCCAGTCTTTCCACCATTTGTCTTAGGCAATGATGATTTGCTGCAATGCTGTCCTCCAAACGGGCCTTTTGAAGAAAAGGCAGCTTCTCCATGTGAAGCTAAGTTTGTACTCCCCGATCTAAATCTGACTTTGGAGGAAGAAGCAAGCTTTGAGGTTCTTTGTGGATAGTAAATCAAAACGTTTTCTATGCTTGAATAACAGCTGACCTTGCTTGCTGTAACTAAATCACAGAATCAATTACCTTGAGCACTTTCTAAAATGCAATGTGGAAGTCTCTTGTATGCGATGGTTAGGATCTAATTATATTTGTGTAGTTTACTTGTGGAAGAACGTGCTGAATATAGTGTAGAGTTTCAAACTCATTAGATGCAGGCAAGGTAATTTTCATAGCTCCACTCTGTCCAGTTATTTGAGGCAAATCTTTCATTAGAGGCGTGCTCTATTTCACAATAGTTGGAGGACCGCGCTGTAATTTTTTTCCTTTTAAGTTTGTGTCTTTCTGTAATCACCCCAAGAAAATTGGCAAGAATTTTATAGTTTACAGGCATGTTCGTGTGAAAATTATAGAAAGAAACAAATGGACAACGAAGTTATATGTAAATGGGCCTCGTTGAAATGCTGCATATTTTTAGATAAGATCGATCTGTATAATAGGCAAAATTTTCGCTTCTTGTGTTACCGAACATGGTGGAGTAGAACCAATAATCAAGGGGTGGAGCTTCCCTGCAAACAAATTGTGCTTCGACTGGCTGTGGTTGTCGGGAGAGGTGAAGAATGTGATTGAGACGAACTGCTTCTCAGTTTCTTCTCCTCCCCTTCGCAGAACTTATCTTCAATTTTAAGGTGCCCAACTTTCATCGACTTTAAGTTCACTGGAATGATGCAATTGCAGAACCAACCTAGCAACCAAAAGTATGTATATCGTTAGAGATGGTTTACATGTATATCATTTACAGATCGTCTTCTAACACACTCTGATCATTAACTGATATAGAAACGAGAACTTACCAATTCTAGCAAGTCGATTAACCCAACGTGGGATTGAATTCCCAGTAAGTTTAATGCAAGCATCATTGCAAAAATGATTGCAATTTTTAGTAATCAAATTATAAGCATTTCCCTTGTATTTTTGCGCAAATTCTTCCATTACTCCCCTCACTTCTCCTGGTGTCATATCTGTCCATCCCATCAAAATCGACTTTCTGAATGTAAATCCTTCACAGTGTTTTGGCTCTCCTTCAAAAATCCCAGTTGTTGAGTTTTCATGTGCTCCAAATGCATATTCTACTGCATGAACTGCCACAATTTATTTAGAAACTCTCTTCGGTATTTTGCCTATAAACCCGAATCTAGACTTCGGCACAACAATATCCAATGTAAATTCGTGCCGTTTGGCAACTCAATCCAATCCAACTTAACAAGAACGAAAACCAATAAGACGATGCTAGTTTGAAGCAAAATCAAGGACTGAGGAATTAAGAATATCGATTATGATTCAAGAAACTAAACTATCAATTTTTGGTTCTATGTTATATCAAGTAATAACAAAAGGGCAATAATTCAATGGTAGATCTAATCATTTATTGCTTCAAAAAAATAAAAAAAATAAAATAAAAATTGTAATTCTTTGAAGGAAAGCAAGATTGAGTACTCACCTTGAATCCCAGAATGGTAAACCCCAAGTCCAAGCCAATAAGCGTATCCATTAATGGAGGTAAGATCGTATACATTAAGGTACACCGGAACTGATCCACCACCGCGGCCGCCTCTTTTAGCCGAACTTCTCCGGCATATCATTGTGATGTAATTCAATAAAATAACTATTTTCTCTATCCAAGAAAGAATCAGCACATTCAAGAAAATAGAAGTGAAAATCTTGGTTTCTGAATTGAGATGGATTGAGGGGCGGCGGAGGAGAATAATTTGGTGGCGACCAACGGCAGCATGTCATTGATCAGTGTCAAGTTATGGGGAACCATATATAATCTTGGGGGAAATAAAAAAATGATTATAAGGATCTGAGGAATTACTGGAAAGCTTTCTGATTGGTTGGAATATGAGCTGTTCTGTGCGATCCAATTTCTGTTTAAAAATTTGAAAATTGTATAGTAACGTACACTCATTATGATGAGCAATAGGAATTTGTATGAGAAATGCTAACTATGGTCTACACCATGATATAATCACGGTTCCCATTCCCTAATAGAGGGCTGTCAGACTAAGTGTACGCTTAGCATTTTTCAATTTGTATGGATGCCAAGTTAATAAAATGAGAAATATTTTTATTTACTTATTTTATGTTACGTAATTCATTTTGAGTGAAACACTATTATGCTATTCTAATTTTCCACATTATGTTTTTTTGACGTAATACATGATTTATTTGATAAGTTATATAGCACCCGTTTGAGCCACATTATTGTAAAAATGAGAATGAAAAATATCGTCGTTATGGGCCCACACAAAAGATAAAATGCCAAATATGATAACTTGATGTGATGGATAACAATTATATTTTACATTTTTATGAGAAAAATAATAGGACTCAAACAGGGCCATAATTCAATAAAATGTACAAGTTATATATCCTAATTTTCGTCGTACACAAATTATCAAACATATCACTCAGGTATTGGACTAAGGGCTTGTTTAGTAGTGATTTTGAGAATTAATTTTTTGACCGTTGAAGATAAAAGTGGGTTTTACTTATAAGAGAATAAGTCATAAAAGATGCTTTGAATGGTGAAATAACGATAAAAAAAATTGATTTTTTGAAATGAAAAATTGATACCAAACATGCACTAAGGAAAAATGTCAATTGAGATAAACTATTCTCCTTTGAACCTTGCTTAAGGTACAGGGATTCTGTGAGAACCCCACAGGTACTCACCACGTGAGTGGGGTGTGTGGGGATTTTGGCCTTTTTTTATACAGGTGGGTTCCGCATGGGACTTGCCAGTTGTGAGTACCTTGTTGGGGTTCTATGAACTGTACATTGACTAAAATCCATTCTCCTTTTTGCATTAACAAATCATTTTTTTTTTTAGGGTTTACTAGAAAATTATGGAGTCAACCTTGGATTGATTTGTTTCTTCACTCGTGATGGGCTAGTCAGTCCATATTTTTCATTTTTTCGAAATGAATAGGTGTTATAATATTTTAGCAGATTAATATAATTATGATTGATTTGCTCCTTATGTTAAAGCATATTTTTAAATAATTATTTTTATTACATTAGTGTTGTTCACAATATTAAATGTAGAACCATGGAATGGATACATTTTATTAGAAAAAAATTGATTAACTCCTACAATTAACTTTACATTATGAGAAATTAGAATTTCACAAAATTGCAAAAATGTCACTTCAAAAAAAATATATTTTCAAATATTGTGTATTGTAACTGATTTGATAAGTTTTATAGATTAGAATATTCATATGAGCACTAATCAATGGACATATGAATATAGTGTCGCTTTTAAAATCCCTACGATATAAAGAATTAGTTTTTTTGTTTTCTTTTCTTTTTAAGTGATGACATCAACGATTGAAATCTCTTCAGATTATGGATAGACATTGCGATAATTAGAAGAAATGTTGAATGTATGTTGTTACTTATGTTGTAGCGCATAGGACTTATATTATGTGATTGTATGTTCCTTGTAATTTTGAAGAGTTTGTTTGAAAATAAGCTCTCGTTTCGTCCCCATTATTTGGATTTATAATGGGGGATAGTGTTTTTTTGAAAAATGGATTGTTGTAAAAAGATGAAAAGTTTTTAATTTGCGTGAAATATTATTTTATTGAAAATTATGTAGTTGAAAATAAGAAAGAGAAAAATTTAAATTAAATTGATGAGTTTTAAAAGAGGTCAAATGGGAGCTAAATAATTTTGATTTCGACTCATTCAGTGTTGCATAATTGCAAGTAATCTATATTGCATGACTTCGCTGGAGATGTGATAAACAATCATTATAATTGTAGCAACTTCATGTGAGACTGTTCATATAAATGTAATAGTATCCAGATACGACTGTTATGACATTTGACAAGATGTTTAACAACACACAATTGTATCTCATCTATATTGCAATTTGGGATCACAAATTTGTGGTCTTTCGATTGTGTAAATGAAAAGATTAGTTATTTTTCTTAGTGCAAATTTAGTGAACGATTCACTCTTCCTCTATAACATGATAAAAAGAGGGGGAAAAAAATTCCTAACCGTAAGGCATTTAACAAAAAAAAAATTTATAAATAACTCAATTTGTCAAATGATAATTTAAATATTCGATTAGTCTAACTCTCTTTTATTTATTAATTACTTGATCGAGGCCCATCTAAGAAATGTAGAATGGGAAAAAAATCTCGTAAAGCCCAACTATAACCCATGCCAGTTTAGGTCTTTTCATAGAGCAAAGGGAAAGGGGACAAGCGGCTTAGGGTTTCTTTATCGGTGTTACGCTAAGAATTAAGGGAGAGGGATCACCTCCTTGGCACCAATTGTTGAATTGTACTGAAATTCATGGCAACAGACGAGGAATCGAAGCCTCTGAATTACATACCAGAGGTGGTATTGAAAAAGAGGAGGAACAACGAGGAATGGGCGATCAGAAGAAAACTGCAGTTAGAAGAGAGGGTCAAGCGTCTCAAGTCCGACAATTTCGTCATCAAGAAGCCAGATCAATTTATCAGAGAATACCGCGACAAAGTAATTATAATTACTGTTTCTCTCTTTACCACATCAGTTTTCCCGTTTCTTTTCCCTTTTTTTTTGTGGCGTGAAAAATGTCTTCCTACGATTTGCCTTATCTTTAACGTTTATACGGTAGGGCTTTGATTACTTGAGGCGTTGTTCAATTAAGAGTACAAACATGTGAGCACACATGTAAATCATCATGCTAAATTCACAGCATTTGTATATGCTCTTTTCTGTAGTTTGTAAATACTCGTGCAATGGAGGATATCAAAATTTATTTTTGTCAGCCAGGGGTAACTGATATTTGTCGTTTTTCCTTTAATTTTTGTGTACTTGTGAAAGCAACTTATGATAATACATGATCATGAGAAGAAGTTTTACGTTTTTGGAATTTTTGTACCTAATAATCTCTGAGAGTTGGAGTCATAAGTGTATCACCTGTGCTATTAAATGTATTCATCTTCTTATTCTGGATGGCTGAATTTGCCATAGTTTTGTAAGCTCACATTTGTTTAAGACTGAAGCATTATTAAGCTTTATCATTAGATTATAGATTGTTGAAGTTGGCATGGCCGTGAATACAGTACGTCTTTTTTGTAGCTCGTTTATGCAAGGAAAGGGGAAAATATGACTTCCCTGGTAGGTTAAGTGTTCTGAAAAAAATATGTTTGTTACTTTAGTAAGTTCAACACTATTCTGCATCCACCTGTTTTTCTTTACCTGTGGCTGTCATACTTAAAACTTAAAAGTCATCTCAATAATATCTGATTTAAGACAGGAACTTGATTTTCGAAGCACTGTAAGTTGTTCGTATTATAATTGAGAGATAATATGTTGTTATTTATTAGGAATTGGACCTCATTCAAATGAAGCAAAGAGGAAAGCGAAAAAGACCAGCATTGGCAACACCAAAATCCAAGCTCCTATTTATCATACGCATAGGAGGGTTGGTTTCACAGTTGATTGATGTTACATTAATATATTTGTAAGTTGCTATTTTGTTAAGATCCTAAAATTCGTGTGTCATTACAGAAAACAGGATATGCACCCCAAAACTCGAAAGGTTCTATACTCTTTGAGATTGAGGAAACTCTTCAGTGGAGTGTTTGTTAAGGCAAATGAAGCAATGATAGAGCGTTTGCAAAAAGTGGAGCCTTATGTGACTTACGGGTATGTCTTGTTTAGCATTTGGACTTACCTTACTTTGATTGATTGTTTGCAAAGAGGTTGGTGTGGATCAGAACAATCTCATTCAAACTAGTGTGTGTTTAAAAGAACATTGTAATTAACCTCAAGATTCCGGCTACTTTGGTTTCAATCTCTTGTACCGGTTCATCTCTCTCATATTCTTACTCTACTGATTTGAATCTAAGACCCAAAATTTTGCTTAGTGATGAAAACATAAAAGTGATTTCAATGAGCATATCATCAGCTTTTGTGGGCATGTGTGCTCATGTAGGTTTGTGGACAAATTAGCTTTGTTTAGGTGCACAATCCGATTCTGAGAATGCAATTCAATATGCTGCTTTTTTTCTTCTTTTTTTTTCGAGTAGCTTACTTTAAAGTAGAAAGCCTTACTGGTAAATGAAGAGTGGAAGTATTTCGCCTGGATGTATAGATTAATGAGGTTGATCTTCAGCAGTGAGGACCAGCCATATCTAATAAATGAATGGCACGGTAGACTTTGGTGACTGGAGTGAGATGGAATTGCCAATCATATGCAAATTTTTTAGTACAAGTAGTTCAGCCTCAGGTCTTCGCATAACATTGCAAAAGAAGTATCAGTTTGAACTTTGGATTTTCTTCATGAAAGTCTCATCCAAATTTTTGAATCTTGAGTTTTTTTAGCAGGTTAAAATTTATTGACCGTTATGTTGCATTTCTAATAATATCTCTGTTACTTTTAATGCTTATACTTGAATTCCTAACATATTTGTTCATATACGTAGATATCCTAATCTGAAGAGTGTAAAGGATTTGATTTACAAGAAGGGGGTAGCTAAAATTAGCAAGGAGAGGGTTCCTTTAACAGACAATAATGTCATTGAACAGGTAACTCAATATTTTTGCAAACTGTGTTCCCAACTACCTGTCTTTTTGCTTTTGAGATGTCTAACATCCCATTATTATGTTGTTTGTACAGGCATTGGGTCAGCATGGCATTTTGTGCATAGAAGACATTGTGCATGAAATAGCTAGTGTTGGTCCACATTTTAAGGAGGTTGCCAAATTTTTGTGCCCCTTCAATCTCAACAAACCTGAAAAGGCATTGCAAGGTAAGAAACGAAGATTTAAGGATGGTGGAGACTCGGGAAGTCGTGAGGATCAGATTAACGAGCTGATTAGTAAGATGAATTAGCATAAGCAAATGAGTACTTTCTAAGAGATCAATGTTGTTTATTTATGCAAATCATGTAGTGTTTGGAACTGAAACAAGGACCTACTTTCAGAGCATCTCAATTTTGATGTTTTTATTATTAACTGTTTATGTTTACTGTCAGTTCGTTACAGTTGGAATATTTTGTGACATTTGAAATAGCACATCAGTTATGAGGCTGTTGCTTTCATAGTATTGCACATTTTTACTTAGCTTTCAGTTGCCCTTCTCTGCTTTATGTTGTGTGCTGAGAGGTAGAACGGAAATATTGGAATATGGATAAAATGGATACATATTTATCGGGAAAAATTGATTACTCCTATAGAGATGAAAAACACTTTACAAAATTTCAAAAATCAAGTCAGTCACTCCAAAATAAAAAAATTATATTTTCTAGAATATCATGTATTGTAACTGACTTGGTAGGTTTCCTAGATTAGAAAATTTATAAGAGAGCGAATCGATGAATATATAAAAATACCTTCTTTCTTTTGTATCCATCTCTACAATATGAAGAAGTAGTTGCTCTCTCTTAAGTAAAAATGGTCTCCGACATTAATAATTGAAATATTTGCATATTACGGATAGAATTGCGGTAGGTAGGTAGAAGGAACGCCGAAGGAATGTTGTGACTTCTATTGTGGGGCAGGTAAGTTCTTCTACCACGTGATTGCATGTCACTATTATAATCTTGGATGTGCAATTTAATAAAAAGTAGTTTGCGCTCTAATAGTTCGATAATGTATAATTGTGATCGATTCATATAGCATGAGTTCATGTAAGATGCATCAGCATCAAACATTTGTAACTTTGACTATTACAATCTCATAAAATTGCAACAACTTCATGGTACGAATGTTCATGTTGACTTAAAAAATTGTCAATATAACTACCGTGACATTTGACGATATGCTCAATTATCGTATGAATTGTATTCGTCGACATTGGACAAAATGAATAGATTTGCAAGCAAATCGAAATTGTGCAATCTGACTGCATCAAATTGATATGAGTGTCCGAAATCCAACCACTCAAAACCGGGTAATCTACCAAATTGAAGATTAGTGTCCTGGACGCAATCACTCAAAGTTGGGTGACCTGCAGCGCATTTAACTCGATACACAAATTGGCCTTTTAGACACTTGTGATGAAGCTCAACAAGGTTAGAATAATATGTGCACCAAAATTTGACTTATTAACTTAGATAAATGTGAAGGATGGTATGCCTTTCTGGAACAAAAATAAGTTAAGCCCTTGCTTGAGCCCTATTTTTGTGAAGAGAATGAATTTTTGAATAGTGTATTGATGGGAAATATGTGGTTAAAAAATAAGGAAATTTTTTTTATTTGCGTATAATATTATTTTATTGAAGAATGTGTGGTTGAAATGATGTCAAATCAGTGTTGAAGAATGTATTTTGGTTGAAAAATGGGGCTCAAACAAGGGCTAAATGACCAAAATGAACTTTTTCTATAAAATTCTAATGAAGATTCATCAACAGCCATGTTCCCAAAAACAGTAAAAACATGCAGTAGATTTAGGAATCAACTATCAGGAAAACGAGTAACTAATTGAAAATCTCCAAACGGAACACATTGAAAACCAAACTTGAAGTCATTAAGAACAATTCCCAAATCTCATCAAGAGAATACTGCTTCCCGGTGATCTTTTAGTGAGACTTCACATACTCCTGAACGATGTGGAGACCTTCAGTTTCCTCTCCATAATCCTGCAAATGGATATTAAATAAAGGTCACGACTTTGAGAATCCGATAATAAACCAATTCATAACTAAAAAATTCATAGCTCTGGTTATACTACCTTCACGACAACACACGAGGCACCCACAACCTTCCTTGCTTTCCCTTCGGAATCAATCTTGCACAACTGCAAAACACCAATTAACACTGAAGTCAAGTAATAGCAAATATATCTTTTGCTCAATAGTGTTGAGTGTTGACAACAGGCTCAAGAGCATTTTCCGTAATAACCGTTCTCATAATTCACAGCTACAGGACTCAACAGTGCTCACCAACATGTTTCTAAGCATACATACCATTTAAACAAGCACCTGATGATGCCAAAATATATGGAAATTTTTACTTACACCAGCCCATTCACCAAGAGTCTTCGCACTTGGAACGGTGATGAGGTTTACATTGTGGTCAGCACAGAGTGATTTAACCAATTTGACATAGTCAGGTTGATCACAGTCCTCTGCCAACACACACAGCTGAGCTGCGTGCTTCTCGATCACCTTAGCACTTTGATGAAGGCCGCGGATGAGCCCCCCATGAGCCAACGATTTTCTCAGCACAAGCTGCAAAGCAGTCATGATGTCCATTGGCTCACCAAGAGCAGGTGCAGCGGGCGTCTCTACAACAGCAGCCTCCTCACTGCAAAGCAACAAATTGAGAAAAACAGATAACTGTTAGCACAGCGAAGACTAATTCCACAATGAGCCCATGATTTTCGCATGAAAGAAGTCAGATTTACATACCCAGACATTTTTTGCTTTTTCTTTAGTTGGCACTTGAGATTCCTTTAAATTTCACCTGTCATGTGTCAATAGAGATCACATCAACAATCATATACAAAATAAGAGCAATTTAAGCAAAAAGAAAAAGTGATCCATTTTCTTTAAACAATTTAAGAAAAAGATTCATGCATAAATTTGAAGTTCTTCCAATTTATATGGATCATCGGCAAGTATAAAATAAAATCCATTCATATAGATCAATAAAACCATCTTACATTGCATATTCATCGGTGAACATGTATGGATCGCAAACATGCATGAAAATAAGGAAAACATTTCTAGACTGAAGGAAACAATAGTCCAGCTGCTGCTCATCAAATCAGGGTTACTCTTTCTTTTCTTTTTCATTTTTTTTTCTTTTTTTTTTTTCTGGTATACAATAATCACAGCAATTAAATTTCAAAGAAAAAAAAAAAAAAACTTGCTGGCAGGACCAGGGGCGGAGCCACCTGGAGTCTATGGTCCCGAGTATTTCATCTACTACGATTAAGGCAAAGAGAAAACCATAAACAACCGCATCAAATTTCAAGAGAAATGTTGTCGAAAAATCATTGTTACTAGAGGAAGATTACAACAAGAGACAACAAATTTGGAAAATAACTAAATTATGTCGAATTTAGTTGAAATTAAATCTTGTACCACAATCAGATCGATTGCGATTTTTAACATATAAAGCCTAATAAAATCCAATACTACCTGCAACACAAGACAATTTGTTTCCAAGGGTTGATGAATAGTCTCTGCCGTCCTCCCTCCCCAATTTTTAGCGTAATATACCAAGGACGAAACCCTTAGCTGCTTGGGTTTAAGACGTACACAGGAATGGGTTATGGTTGGGCGTTACTATTTTTCTTCCTTATCCATCCTTCAGATGGGCCTCAGCCCTCAATCAAGTAAGTAAGAAGCCCGTGGTAGGGAAAATTAAGCAAACCCATGTATTTTAAGTTTGATTATCATTAATCATGTAATTAAAATTTATTTTCAAGAATCAGGTGTTAATTAGGTTTTAAAAAATATAAAATAAAAAATATAAAATATAAATTCTAATATTTACAAAACTAAATTATCAAAAGTTTAGAAATTAATCTCTAAATTAAAGTTAACTAAATAAGGATAATTATTATATGAGTAATGTTATTTGTAGTATCTTACTATTGTAGTCAGCCTACGTGGCATATATGTGATTTTTAGTGACTTGATGCATTAATGTAGTATTTTTTTTATTGCCTCGTGTGTCAAATCATCAACTGCAGTATATATGTCATGTATGACGACTACGATAATGAATAATTGTAAATAACATTATTTTTATCATATTTTCCAAACCACTTTCTCTTTCTACCATTTCTTTATACACGTTTCACCTTCCATCTTTTTCTCTCTTTCTACCATTTCTCTCTACAGATAAAATTTAGGTACCGTATCTCCACTGTTGACAAGTAAGTTGGGTCTACCTACGATCTCCACCAATGAGCCTATTTTGTGCACTAGAACTCCATCCCCATCTCTATAGATGACTACAAAGCTAGAGGTCATCGGATCTAGCGATCGTCGGTATTTTTAAATGGGTATAGGTAGAGATGGCAATAGGGCGAGTTCGGGGCGGGGCAACCCCAAACATACCCCACCCCGCCTTAGACAGGGCGGGGCGGGCCAGAGTCATGCCCCACTTACTTTTTTTTTTTTCTCTTCTCAAATTCACAATTTGAAAAGTGAAAAACACTAACATCCAAATTAAGTACTCGAAACAAACAATATCCGAAAATAAATAATTACAAATACAATTACATTGTAACTAAATATCACTTCTTTATCCAAAAATAAATTTGATATTTTTCCATCTTCATTCATCGGCAAGTTCAGAGATTGTAGAAGATGGATCCTGAAAAATAAAGAAATATTATCTCAATATCATCATAATAATTATGATTAAAATTTAAATTATGTGATAAATAAAATTACTTCCTCATCATTCATCTTGGAGCAACTTCCAAAATATGCAGACGGCGCAGAATTCGCTATTAATAAAATAAAATAATTAGTAATAAGAAAATTCATAAAAGAAACAATATAAAAAACAAATATTTATATACATTATACCGTGAATATCGTGTTATAACCAATCTTGAGTACACGTTAAAGTCTCCAAAGTTTTGGAGTGAAGTCTATTTCTGTGTGGACTAACAAATCTACCACTAGTATATAAAGTAGATTCGAATGCCACAGTAGATACCAGGATGGCCAAAATATCTTTTGCAATTTGAGATAAAGTCGGATATTTGATTGAATTTACCTTCCACTATGTCAACATATCAAAATCATCTAACCGAGACAATATAAGCTTATCCAAAAAAGTATCAAGCTCGGTTTTCATACTACTAGGAGCTTCAACATTAGAAACAAATTTATTAAAATCCGCCATGCGATCTGATTTATTATTAGCACTTAATGTCTCAGTTTGACAAGAAGAAGTAGAAGACTGAGCTACAGACCAACTTGAAGCACCAACTTGCTACAAATTTGATATATTTTGTCAATCTCACTTGCAGCATTATGAGTAAAAATACGAGGATAATAAAACTTAACTAACATCATCTTATACCTCGGATCCAACACTGCTGCTAAAGCCAAAACTCCATGAATATCGCTCCAATACTTATTAAACTTTTCCATCACACTCATTTGAACTTCCACATAAGGAGATTTAAGCCACTCATACAACGGCAGTTTGATATCACAAATATTTGCAAAGAAAAGATTAGCAGTTTGATACTTTGTTTCTGAAAACAATTCAGTAGCCTCAAAAAAAAAAAAAAATCTTTAACTTCTCACATATTTCTTTTGCTAAATCCCAATCACCATCACTAGGGAAACATTTATATCATGGCTCTCTCTGTTTCAAACGTGGAAAAACATCCTTATAAATCAAAGCAGTACTAAGCATCAAATACGTCGAATTCCACCTTGTTTTACAATCAAGCACCAATTCTTTCTCACAATCAATTTTCAATTGACGTGCAAAGAGCTCAAATTTTTCAGATCTCTTTGGCGTGGCTGTCCAATAAGCAACACTATCACGAATTTTCTCAACACTACCACTAATAATGTTCAACCCATCCTTCACAATAAGTTTAATATATGTGCACAACACCTCATATGAAAAAATTCACCATTTAGTACAAGAGAACGAGTACAAAGTTGACTTAACACAATACTGATCATTGCATCATTTGTGGTGCAATTATCTACGGTTAAAGTTAGTAACTTACGATCAATATTCCAGTCCATCAAGGTGATCAATAGAGTTTCTGAAAGCACATTAGTAGTGTGTGGGCACGGCACATATATAAACCTGAGTTTATTCAAGAACAATTTAAATCAACTAAAAGAATATCATTTTGGTAAATTATGGGAACAAGTGAATTTCATGTTTTACTATACATCATGATTCGACTCTGTAATTTCCACGCATTATCTATGAAATGAGCAGTGATAACCATGAATCCACTCTTTTGGTTAGAAGAGGTCCACATGTCGGTAGTGATCGAAACTCAATCTTCTCGAGTGCAATCATATTTTTGGCTCTCTCTCGTATTCATAGATTTTCAAAATGTCGCTATTCAAAGTGTTGCAAGAAAGAACCTTAAACAATGGTTGTAGGTCGTGTAAGAACTCTCGAAATCCAATGTGATCAACCATAGACAAAAGATACTCATGCAAAATCACCATTTTCGAAAGATTATATCTACACTTATTTGGATCAAAAGAGTAAGTACCTATTGTGACATTGCCACTCGTGGCATCCTTTTTGAAATTTAATGTTGCTTGGTAAGTATTATCCTTATGACGGAATACACATCTCTTTAAATGATCATGCAAATGCTTTGTACCATTTTTTGTTTCACCTCCTAACCGTTTCTTGCAATGATTGCATATAGCATTCCATTTCTCACCAATTTTCTGTCTTTTGTAGTGCTCCCACACAATTGAAGTCAATTTTCTCTTTCCAAATGATATTTCTCCAATATCACGCTCATCGTCACTTAGGTTTATTGTCCTTTCATCCGCATTTTGTAACAGTTCAACTGGATCGCTCTCGGTACATCGGTCGTGTTATCTTCCTCGTGTATTGGTCCTAATCCAATACTTCCAGCACTACTTGGGCCAGACACGTGTCTCAACTCAAGTTTATTTTCATGATAAATTTATTTAAAGTTTATTTTCAACAGAAACTGCTTGACATATTTTAAGAATTATAGACAGACATGAAATCCACATTATCCACATTTAATCTTTAATTTACAATACACACTTTATAGAACCCACAATTACTACGCACTGATTCACCGCTTATTTAATCAAATTATAATTTTAGTAAGTTATAATTTTATCCATACACTAATTAATGTTTCTAGTCAAGAAAAAGTTCTAATTGAAAAAATATAATCACAACATGCGAAGTAGTCACAGAATTTCATCTCACTTCACAACATTTCAACTTACTTTATAGAAACCTCCAGATAAATATATGTCACGCCATACTCACCACATTCAATAACACAACAATTAGGCACCCAATAAATGTAAGAGCCTGTTTGGGCCTGATTTTTTCACCCAAAAAATTGATTTTTTGATCGTTATTTCACTATTCCAGCCGTCATATTTGACTTCATCTCTCACAGGTGGACCCCACTTTTCTCCTAACGGTCAAAAAATCAACTCTCAAAATTACTCCCAAACAGGCTCTAAAACCCATTTTTCAACGTCAAGTTTGAACAATTTGCAGTATAAACTTTTCCTAAGCAATAAAACAAGCATAAATTAAGCCATGCCCCCAAAATCGCCGATTTAAACTTAAGGTTTTCTAATGCAATGACCCAATCCACAAATTCAAGGATCGTGGTCCAAGTGTAGAATAACAAACAAGTGATATATTAAACCAAATCTCAGTGATGCACATTATTCATTGAACAAGATTATTAAAAAAAAAAAGAAAAAAAAAGCAACTTGCAATCACCAACTACCAAACAATGAAGCATGCATACTTGTATTAACCCAATGACCAATGTTAAAATAAATTGCTAAGGTTCCAATAAGTCCAACATTGATTCCCTCAAATGTTTCAGTTGGGAAAATGCGCAAGATAATTATCTTGTATACTATTAACAGTTGACAACATTAAATGATTCAGAAGACGGAGCACAGGAGCAGAATGAATAACAAGGAGAAACACAGTAAATCAGATTTCTTTAACCTGCGTGCGCCGTGCGGTGAGACTGGCAACTCAAAAATTAGATTTTGGGAAGCCGTCGATGGAGGTTCAAAATTGATTGCAGGGTTAGGGTTTGGCTTTGCGATTTGGGTCGTGGATAATCGTTCCTCGCGTTTTCAGCTTTTGTATTTGCAGAAATTCTAAGAGAAATTGATTTGGTCCGGTCGTTCCGTCGTTGGCAATCGGCAGAGACAAGAGGAGAGGAGAGGAAAAGGAGTGGAAAGGGAAATGTCGAAATGATTTAAGGCAACCACTGATGACTGAACTGAACGGCTTACCCAACGTCTTAGCCCTTTTGTAAATTGTATTATATATATATATTTTTAAATTTCACGGGGCAGCACCCCACGCCCGCCCCGCCCCGCCTCTCCTCGACCCATCAACCCATCAGGGTGGGGCGGAGCGGGACGACTTGCCATCACTAGGTATAGGTGGTGAAAGTAGTGGTGGTGTGATGTGATGGCGGTTGTGATGGGTTATGGTGTGTGTATGGATTCGTGTGCGAAGGTGTGTATGGTGCGTTTGGAGGTGATGGTGATAGATTGGAGAGGATGGTGATGGGTTGTGGTGGTAATTTGTGTGTTGCGTTTGGAGGCAATTGTGAGGTGACATCAATATTTTTTTGTGGTGTCGGTGGTGGTGGGATGGAATGGAAAGCAATTGTGACCAATAAAATCATTAATTTGTAATCAACAAATAATATATGACCTAAAAATATACGTTATGTGACTAAATTTATAGTCATGACCTACAATTTATGTATCTGTAATCAATAAAAAATTTGTTACCAATTAATTTTAATTGTGATCAATAAATAATTTGTAAACTAAAAAATGTATAATTTTGACTAACTTTATAATTATGACTTATAATTGTGTCTTTGTGATCATGACCTTGTGTGGTTTATAACTGGTATGTGACCGTGATCACAAATTATGTGTTATTGTGATTTTGACATTTTTAACTAAATTATAAGTCACAAAATGCGACCACCTAATTTTGAAAATAAAATAAAATCATGATTGTAGAAACAGAGAAAGTGAGAGATATGAAATTGTATAATTAAAATGTTGTATTTACGTATTTTCCTTGTTTTTATCATTCAGATTACAAGAATTTACGCCCAATACGTGGATTTTAATAAATATTCATATTATTCTATTATATATTTTTAAAATCAAAATTACTATACGATCGATAACTAAAAAATCACCTCCCTCATCAATTATTATATTCAATGGCTTAATGACTAATTTAAATAAAGAAACAATAGCCCCGCTATTGATGCCAAAATCCCCAAATCTTAGTTCCACAATAGCTCCAGTATTATTGCCAAAATCCTCAAATCTTTGTTCCATGCTCTCTAGGAAAATCCCATTCAATATTCACCTTGAATTGATTTCCACCATTTCATCACATTCACGCTCATAGTTTTCATTTCATATATCTTGTCATTTAATGGCTATAATCCCTGCTAAAGGTGAAATATCTCACAATCCTGTCTGAAAATCACAAAGATCCCACCATTTTCATAACCCAGTTGAAGATTCTTTAATAAAATCCGTGATACATACTGTAATTTAGTCGTCGACGAATTTTAGCAATCTGTAAGGTATCTTTACACAAACCCGTCTAAAAAATAGATTACGTTCCAACTCATCTCATCTATCTTATGTGATTTGAAATCCAAAATGGCAACACCAAAGAGCACTTCAACACTGGTTTTAAGCAACATCAAATTACTGTGCGCTGGTACACCGCGTGCTGCCAATACTTCACGTCGTTTGTCAATGGACTCAATAAGGAACAAAAAAAGAGATGAATATGGCACTCGGATAGGAACACCAAAAGGTCCATTAACTCTGGATTCCACATGGATCTGTCAGTTCGACGAAGGTTCAAAGTCACTGGAGATTATTGAACAAAAAATGAGACTATGTAGAATCCCACATGTCGTATTACACGATTGACATCGATGTTGTCAGACTCAAATAGCAAGAATGACGAGTCCCTATTATCCGAGACACAGAAAATGATGTGCAGTCAAGTATTAATACTTCACAATAGAGTAACAATGGTAAGAGACAAGTGGAAGTAGACGTTAAGAAAGACGTGCAACATAAAATCTCACAAGTTAGTGAAATTTTTTTAAGTATATATTTTTTTAGCTAAGTGATTATGCAGATTCTTATGTTATAACTGTAATTGTTATGTGATAATTGTCATGCATTCTAATTGAGTAGATGTTCAATGTTTTTACGTGTCATCTATACGTGAAAAATAATTCAAAAATCCTGAAGAATGCTAGTTAGTCGTATTTTAATTTCACATTTTTACATCACATAGTCCATTAGTCCAACCTCCCCCCATCTATCTCATTAAGCCACCGCAAAACTTCATTAGAAAGTGCATTATGTAAATTAATTTATATTTTTTATAGGACAATAAATTAATTAATCCAAGGGTTACAATTGGAGGTAATGATAGTTTTATGTTTGGATCTTTTAGGATAATTGGAAATTCTGTTGGTGATTCATCGGGACAGTCAACTATGCAATGCATAATGGTGATTTATGTATCATGTTTGAGTATGTTTTCATATATATATATATATATATATATGAAAACTCCGATGAATATGTAACCATGACTGCATCATGCATCATGCATATTGAAGATGAGGTTAATTAGTTCTTAAAAATCCACACTTTTTCACAAATGTGCATCAACAACACATACAACAGATATATTTAGTGACGTCAATTAATTCTGCAACTTAGATAATCCGAATTTCAAATCAGGCCTCAACTCTAATATAATGGTTGTGTGCGTAAGTTCTAACTTTTAATTTGTTGTTATTATCTTCGCATAGTTGCTATAAATCCACATTCAAATGCAAACCGTATGATTGTAATATTGATTTTTGATATAACAATTTTTTTGACATTTGGTACTGATGTTACCGATTTATTTTATTTATATATAATTCCTTCTGCATTAAACAGGTTTCAGTATACTTCCTTCCTGCTCAGGTTCGGGAAAAGCGTGAATGTCTTTTTCGAGGACAATGTGATATCTAGAAACAGTAAACTCACTACTTCCCAAAAGGAATTATTCCAAGAACATGCTCTGGACACTTTCTCCAGGTAGGTAAAATACGGCTTCAACGCCAACTTTTCCATAAGATTCTACTAATGGAAGTCACTAAACTGGAAATTATTTTGTATGATAAATAATGCAATACTCTTCTTTAACAAATTTATATCCTCGAAAATCTTATTCACGGCGATACATTCATCACCAGTCGCTGATAATACACCATAGTTTTCATCATCTTCACGTTCTTCTAGTGCTAAATGTGATATTTCCATGCTCGAAGCAAACTCCTCTATCATTGGATTTGTCAAAGATGAATGCAACGAAAAGTTAGAGGATCGTCCACTTTCCAAAGCAGGAGCCAATTTTGAATATGAGGAGTCCAAACGGATGCCAAATTCAGCAACATTAATGTTCAACAATTCCTCAATTTCAACATGCAGTGCATAAGCAGCTGAACGAGAATCCTTTAGCTCAGTGTAGAAAAGATGTGATGTGTCATTTGTAATACCAATTGGGGACATGTCATCGTCCACTTCGTATTCTATTTTCAAGTGAACATTTAAGCTGTCAATCTTTATCTTGATGGGTAACATATAAACTAGTTCCACATGCTTGCAACCAATAGTTAAAAGCAGCCCGAAAGTCCTTGTGTTTATAGGTAACATTCATGTTTACGGAGTTCATTTCTGCGACTCAACAAAGAAAAGGATATATCAACACCATGTTAGATACTGTCAATAATGTATCGAAAAGTATTTTCTGACATCATCATGTTACAGTTATGCCATCTTCATACAACAATGAATGGAACATGTAAGTTTTTTATATAGTGAATAATTTATGGTTTTGTATCACCATCACCTATTCATTACACCAGATACAAACTTTTATAGGTCAGTTTCATCCCATATGGTATTAAAAAGAAGTTAGATTATTTTTCCTAATTTTTAAGAAAAATAAGGAATTACACTAACGGAGAATTCACAGTACTGACTTCTTCAACTAAACGTATTGTTGAATTGTATGTATTTAGTTGATCAACACATAAAGGTTGTATTTTTTTAATATAAAAATGGACACAGTAAACTTCTTTGTACCTAGCAGTATAGATTTGTTTGACCTTCTTGTTCCATTTAATTGCAAGTATATTAGAGCTTGTGACATGATAATAAATGAATTGAGTACGTTGATGTTGTGGAAATGGCCCCGATAAGGATAACGACGATTCAGATGGATTTTTATTATTGTGGAAAATGTGATTCACGCTGAATGATATAATGCTTTTACATATTTGAAAATTATTTCAGGAATATTTTGCCTAATTGCAACGATATTTCAAATGTGATTTTGTGGTTCACTGCTCCAGCTAGAAGCCCAACTTACTTGCTTAATTGAGGCCCATCCGAAAGATCGATATGGAAAAAAATCTCATAGAGCCCAACTATAACCCATTTCTGTTTACATCTTAAAGGGGACAAGCCGAGGCGGCTAAGGGTTTCGGTACTTGGTATATTCAGCTAAAAATTGGGGGAGACGAAGGCAGAGACAATTCATCAACCTTGGAACCAATTTGTCTCGTGTTGCAGGTAGTATCGGAGTTTTTTAGTTTAAGTAATATGTTGAAAATCGCACTCCATCTGATAGTGGTGAATGATTTGATTTCAATTAAACTACTTATAATTTATTTATATTTTCCAAATTTGTTGTTTCTTGTTTGTAATCTTCATCTAGGAAAAATGATTTTACGACAACATTTCTCTCGAAATTCGTTGCGGTTGTTTACTTGTTTATGGTTTTCTCGTTGCCTTAAGCGTAATTGTAATAGATGAAATACTCAGGACCGTAGAACCCAGGTGGCTCCGCCCCTGATCCTGCCATCAAGGTTTTTTTTCATTTTTTTTTTCCCCTTTGAAATTTAATTGCTGTGATTATTGTATCCCGAAAAAAGAAAAGAAAAGGGTAACCCTGATTTGGCTAGTGGCGGCTGGACTGTTGTTTCCTCGCTCTGTTTATGTTTTTTAATCCTAGAAAGATTCAGTCTAGAAAATTATTTCTTATTTTCATGCATATTTGCAATCTATACATACTCACCGACGTTTGTGCAATGTAAGATGGTTTTTTTGATGTATTTATTTGAATGGGAATTTTTTTTTTAGTTTTTTTTTTCACCTTTGTATTTATATATATAAAGAAAATGGGCTTACTTGGCTCTGTTTTATTTGGTGAATTGGAAGAACTTCGTACTCATGCATGAATCTTTTCGCTTAAATAGCTTAAAGAAAATGGATTATTTTTTCTTTTTGCTTAAATCGCTGTTGTTATTCTGTATATGATTGTTGACGTGATATCTATTGACAAATGACAGATCTAATTTAAAGGAATCTCAGGTGCCAACTAAAGAAAAAACAAAAAATGTCTGGGTATGTAAATCTGACTTCTTTCGTAGGAAAATCATGGGCTTATGGAGGAATTAGTCTTCGCTGTGCTAACAGTTATCTGTTTTTCTCAATTATTACTTTGCAGTGAGGAGGCTGCTGTTGTAGAGACGCCCGCTGCACCTGCTCTTGGTGAGGCGATGGACATCATGACTGCCTTGCAGCTTGTGCTGAGAAAGTCGTTGGCTCATGGAGGGCTCATCCGCGGCCTTCATCAAAGTGCTAAGGTGATCGAGAAGCATGCAGCTCAGCTGTGTGTGTTGGCAGAGGACTGTGACCAACCTGACTATGTCAAATTGGTTAAATCACTCTGTGCTGACCACAATGTAAACCTCATCACCGTTCCAAGTGCGAAGACTCTTGGTGAATGGACTGGTGTAAGTAAAATTTTCCATATTCTTGGCATCATAGGCTACATGGGTGTGCTTGTTTAAATGATATATATGCTGAGAATCGTGTTGGTGATCACTGCTGTGAATTATGACAACGGTAATGACGGAAAATTCTCTTGAGCCTGTTGTCAACACTTGAGGAAAAGATATATATGCTATTGTTTGACTTTAGTGTTAATTGGTGTTTTGCAGTTGTGCAAGATTGATTCCGAAGGGAAAGCAAGGAAGGTTGTGGGTGCCTCGTGTGTTGTTGTGAAGGTAGTATAACCAGAGCTATGAATTTTTTAGTCATCAATTAATTTATCATCGGTTTCTCAAAGTCGTGACCTTTATTTAATATCTATTTGCAGGATTATGGAGAGGAATCTGAAGGTCTCCACATCGTTCAAGAGTACGTCAAGTCTCACTAAAAGACTACTGGGAAGCAGTATTCTCATGATGAGATTTGGGAATTGTCCTTCGTGATTTCTAGTTTGCTTTTCAATGCATTTCATTCTCAAATTTTGATTTAATATTTATGTTAACAGGATTTTTTGTTGTTCGCGATTTGCAATTAGTTACTCTTTATCCTGTTATTGAATCCCTAAAACTACAACATGTTTTTAATGTTATTTGGAACATGTTTGTTGATGAATCTTCATTAGCATTTCATAGAAAACGTTTCATTTTTGTATATAGTTATACGAGTCATAATTATCTGTTGAGCTTAAACACGTGTCTAAAAGGCCAATTTTTACGCGTCTAACCATTGATTAAGTGGATATATTTGCAAACTAATTGAAATTAGTTGACTTAATTGCACCAAATCGAAGGTGAATGATCCGGATGCAACTCCACGAAAGGAGGCATTGGGTGTCCGTTTCACCACTGAAACATGATGCTACTACTTGCTGCTCAGCTTCAGATATAAATTTGTATTAAAATTGCAGCAATTCTAGATGCTAGCAGTTACTTATTTCGATCAACGTTCGAATGTCACTATCAAAACTGCATTAACTATTCTCATTCAGACGGTTACATCGCTAATGTAAGTGGAAATAGGCGAGAGCTGGGGAAAATGGGGATGACTATAATGATAACAACAATAAAAGACGAGTTGGACTATGCATTAGTTGTGCTATCCAGGCGATCATCATTTGCTACCGGAAGTGGGGAGGTACACCCCCTCTGCTGCCAACCAAACATTATCAGCACGCTTTTCCCGGACACCACAAACCTGCAATGTATGCAAGGGAGTTGTCGTTGAGGATGTTACAAAATGAAAACTAACTTGATGTTATTAAACACTATAATGACTTCATATTGACATCACCTCTTGCTGTCCGCCAGCTATACGGGTGTATTTCTTGTCATGACTGTGTAGGTATCCACCAGTGTCTACGTGATGAAGTCTCACCCTTTGGTCTTGCCTCCAAGTCTTTCCATTTCCCTCAATCTCTAGTCTAAAGCACAACAATGAATATTAAGATAAATATCACGTGAAATACATGAACATTGTGTGCATGTTTGGTAAGCAATATGGAAAGAATTGGACAGTTCTTTATTAGTAATGTTCATTGCTCTCCGATCCTCCAGGCAACACATGCTAAGAAGGTTCAGAATGAAGGTCTCACCTCCAATAATCACCAGTGTCAGAGTTACCATCATCTCCAAAGCAACTAACCTGTAAAAGTATATATGATGCTAGTTAATTTAAGCCTATCCAAGTTTCAGATCACTCAAGTAGCACAGAAAACGCGCAAAACTTGCCATCGCATTTAACCCCTCTCCACATACAAGAAATGACGAAATGAATCTATGATAACAAAGAAAGAAAAGACTGTTCACATAAATTTGACCTCATATGCATATAGCGTAATTTCCAGCAGTAGCACATGGCCGTTTAACATGCTAACACGCCTGGAACCATCATCAGAAGATTTTTTCTTTTCATTTTCATTTTTTGTCATTTCATGATCTGTCGAAGCAATGATCAAGAGTTCCATATTTGCAATGGACTAAATTCAGTTATTTTTCCTTTTTTCTTTTTGAAAGTTTTAGCATTTTGTGTGCACCTCATAACACTTCTGCTTCAATATGTTTATATGTGTATATAAAAATTCATAATGAAAATGGTTCATTTCACATTACGCTGACAGAGAAAAGGATTGCAATATCAAACCTCAAAATCTATGTATTACCAGATTATTGCTTTTCATTGCATATTCTGGCTTTTGTTGGCAGAAAGTATATTAAATAGCCATGACTGCCCATGAGAAAATAAGAAATGACAACACATTTCTGAAGCCTGCTAAACAGACCACTGCATTTCCAGGAGAGCACTATAACCTCAAGACATGTCCTTTTGTTTAATATTCGACTATTTCACCGAGAGTCATTAGAAATCATTGAGATCCATGGAAAATAAAAGCCAAGTCAGACATCAACCTCAACAATCAAAGATCAATCTTTCATCTAAAAGCTGCAATTTATTTTAAAATTATGACATAAAATTTTCCGTCGTTAAACTGAGGTAGAAGCTACTGAACTCTCACAGGTTTTGCATGCTATGATAAAACCAATGTTGTAGAGTATGGGGATAAACATAAGAAATATTATATTCCTGAAGTATAGATTCAGGCTATAAGTTTGAAAACAAAAGGAATCAATGTAATTTCACTAGTCCAAAACACATAGGCGGAATAAGAAGATTGACATAAAGATATTGAATGAAAAAAACAACTCAAGTTTTGACGAATCATTTTCATATTCAATTTCATGGTTGACAGTATTGCTAGTTGATTTTCAATATGGGACACAAGGATGACACGGATCCTAATGAAGAGCAAGTATGCTAACCTCAAGGTTGCCAGATATCGGGGATGCATGCAAGTGGCTATGCAGCCATCTCCTGGTCCTCATGTGTTGCAGCCTAATGATAGTTCCACTTTTAATTGTATCTCCTTGTTTTGCAGATGAGTCTAGTGTAGGCCTAACAATCTGCTAGATCAAGGAACAATTTCAATGAAAAACATTAGACTACTGCACTCATACTTTTTACTTCACTGAGTACTATAAAAGAAAAAACTGCATGGTTTAGGATTAACATACCCAGTAACTGTTAGAGTCATCAACACTAGAGAAACCAGTAACCGACTGTTGCCCGCTGCCAGAGCCGTATGGCACATCATGTGAATGTAGCCGAAACTTTGTTCGCTCATGCATCAGTTTGACTGTCGATCCATATGTAATCTGCAAAACCATTTACAAATACTTTGAAAGAGTTACGACAAGACCCTATCTTTTCATGGAGTTCAAATGGCAACCTCAACTTCAAATCATGAAAGACAATCATATTCAAGATTTCAGTTCTGAAACATTTTCTCCAAAATCCTTTGAACCAAAGGCCCTGATTTCCTAGCGACCTAGCATAGCACATAAGTTTCTATTTAAATTTAAAATAGAACGTTTCTTATATGAGCTAGAAGAAAAAGAAATGTCAAGTATTCAGTACAAGACAACATTTTAACTAGCTTTTCATCCTTAACCGTATCCAGTGAACTTGTAAATAAATTTAATGATCTAATCAATGCCGAATAGACAGATTATAGAACAAAAACACTTAATCAAAGTAAGTTTGAACAAAAACACTTAATCAAAGTAAGTTTGCCCCAATTTTCACTTCAAAAATTCATAAATGAAACCGCATCAAATTCATATCACACAGTGAACATTTCCTTCACATTTGGTGGCGCTGATAAACAATTCGCAAAGGTCAATTCTATTTCGAAATGACTTTCCAAAGTCCAAATCATGTCGACCCGATTTTCCGATCAACATTTCCACACGCAATCACACCTATACATAAGCATTAATCCTTCTACCTTTTTGGGTGTGAAATAATATTATATAATCGTTTACCTGAACGCCTTCGGAAGCAGCAGAAACAGGAGTGGATGTGTAATCAGAGTTTAGCGTGAGCAAAAGGTAAATTGCGAGTGCGAAAAATGAGACTGCCATTGCTAGCAATATCGATATAAACCAAGTACTCTGCCAAAACGGTGAGCTAAGATTAGAACGGGAAGACGAGTTTACAGACTCCCTGTAAACTTTTCGGGCGGATCCCGATTTCTGGGCGGATACGAAAGTGGACGACGGAGCTGATTTTCTACGGGTGAGGCCGTTCGATCGTGGGCCGGAGGGAGCCACGGCTGGAGCCTTAACACGGTGCCGGAGCTCCGATGGAGGATTTGATTCGATTTGCGATTCGGGTTGTTTGTTGAGTTCGAAAGTTTTGTTTATTGAAGTGGGTGCGTAGGGTTCGACACTGCCATATATGTTCAACGTTAAGAACGAATCATTAATTGCCACGTGGATATATGGCGGGGATGGTTTCAGTTGGATATCTAGGCGTGGTGCATGCCCCGAACTGTACTCCACAGGTCAACAAAACAACGAGACTAAAAATGGAGTTAAATGTTTCGGTGGTCATTGAACTTTGCTATACGTCGCTTAGTGTACTTCACAACCTTTCTTGATGCCACTCAACTTTATTTCGTCGAACTCCGTTGACCACCGGATGGAAATTGTCAGTTAACCTGCCTACGTGAATGACGATAATATGATGTGACCCATTAAATATTAAGTTAATTGCCACGTCAACGCTATATCAGTTGAATTTAAACATGCTTTCACCATGTATTACAAAATTGAAATGTGACTTTCCTTCATTAAACCAAAATCGTTTCTATGGAAGTAATGAAATTACCCCAAATTGAAACCCACAGACCCCAAGGCGAAATTGACGATTTTGCCCCAAAAATTCGATCCACAGCTACACCGGCATGTTGATGAATCCACTGAAAGTTTACTGGGTTTCTTCCATCTAATATTACGCATCTTCTTCTAACATTGATTCTTACAGTGGTTGTCATAGGAACCTTGATGTGAAAGGTGATTATATTAGCTTATTTTACAGCTGAAGAAAATTAATGCTAATCCTGTATGGCATGTATAGAATTTTCTTGGCATGAATAGAGTTAGGGGTGGCAAATGGGCCGAGCGGCTCGTCGGCTCGCGAAAACGGAGCTCGTGGGGGACTCGAGCTCGAAAAAACACGAGCCCGAGCGCGAGCCGAGCAGGCCGGTTCGTTGGGCGAGTCGAGCCCACTCAGCTCGCACAAAGAATGAGCCATGAGCTGGGCTCGTGGGCTCGTTTTTGAAAGTGACCGTTTCAGTCCCTGAATTTTTATTTTTTTTTGGACCGTTAACGGTCACTGAATTTTTTCAGTGACCGTTTTGGTCCTTATTTTTTTTTCTTTTCTTCTTCTATAAATAGTGGCATTTAGCCACAAAATTTTCTACAATTCACTCTCAACTTTCAATTATCTTTCTCTCAACTCTCTTGTGTTGTGTTGATAGTTGTGCAATTTTTATATACAATTTATACAATATTCAATTCTCATTTCTCAGTTCTCACTATATTTATTGAAATTTCATCCAATTTTCATTTCTCACTACATTTATACAATTATTTTTTACTAGTTATTACTTATTACAATTAAACAAATGGATCCACGCACATTTGTAGAAAACTTGTTCGGTGTGGGAGGAAACGAATCGCCTATAACACTGCAAAGTCAATTTCAGAATCAATTTGAAGGTCTAAATGACGTACCCCTACCTGAAGATCTTCCAAATTTGGATCTTCATCATCATGAAAGCGGCAATCAAATTATCCAATTAATTTGGATGATGTTGACATTCTCGAAGCGGAACTCGATCAGGAAGAATAGGTTGAATTAAACATTCCTGATGCAAATGGAAAGCGAAAGAGGAAAAAATAAGTAAAATGTTGGGATCATTTTAAGTTGATTTCAATGGAAAAAATCGTTAATGGAGTCCAAGAATCCAAAGCAGTATGTAAATACTGTCAACAAAGATTGACATGACAAATAAGAATTGGTACCACCCATCCCAATTGTCATTACAAAGTATGTGCGGTCAAACACAGATTTATTCCAGGCTGTCAAACACAATTGCAATTTGGCAGTCTAGACGCCGGTGGTTCTACTGCACCCCTATTCATATGGGTGTAGTTGGAGGAGAAAGCTCGAACCAGAATAGTGAAGCTTGTTGCTGGTGTTGAGTTACCTTTGGCATTAATTGACAACCAACACTACGTCTCGTATGTGAAAGAATATCTGCAGTCAAGGTACGTTGGGGTAAGTCGAAACACTATTCGTTCCGATACAATACAATATTTTACTTCAACAAAACAATAATTAATTATGGATTTACAAAAATATGAGGGTGTCATATCTTAACTTCGGATATATGGAAAGAGATTAATAAAATAGCATATATAGCTGCAACTGCACATTATATAGACCCACTTTGGTGCATGCATAAAAAAATTATTGTTTTTAGAATCATTGAATTTCCTCACAACGCTAATAATATATTTAATGCTATTATTAGTATTGTTAGAGAATATCATTGCGAAGGTAAAATTCGTTCATTTACTTTTGATAATGTTAGTGTTAATAAAGTAGTTGCCGAAAAATTGCATAGGGTACTACAATCTGATTTTAGTGGGTATTTGTTTCATATTCGTTGTGTATGTCATATTTTAAATTTAATTGTCCAAAATGGTTTTAAACATATAAAGGATGAACTTCAAAATATTAGGAACGCACTAATATATATCACAATCTCCCCAAGTAGAAAACAAGCATTTGAGGATTATTGCGCCGAAATAGAAGTGCAAAATGCTAAAACATTTGTTAGCGACGTAGATCATAGGTGGAACTCTACTTACTTGTTATTAAAGTCATGTGAAGGTTTTGAACATTTAATAATAGACATGTTAGAAGTGATAACGAGGGTATGTTGACTGAACGTGATTGGCATTTAGTTTTGAAAGTTAAAAAATTTTTGACATCTTTTTATGAAACCACTAAGATTTTATCGGGTGTTTACTATCCCACCAACTGTATGATGCTTGAACGTCTTTATATAATTGCAAGAGCATTTCATAAATACAAAAATGATCCTAATTTTAGTAAAATTATAATTGCTATGAAATTAAAATTTAGAAAATATTGGGAAGATTTGCCTATGTTATTTCCTTTAGCATGCGTGATGGACCCCCGATATATTTTATCGGGAACTAAATATATAATTGATTAAATTTCAAACGTTTTAACACTTGATACACCTATCACATATAGAAATTTAGAGCAAACATTATGTGAAATGTATGAATTATATGTGAACCGAATGGGTACCAATATTAGTCGGGTACCATCTGCACCTACTCCTTCCGCTGAAATTGAAGAAGAAGATGCGAAAATATTTAATTTATTTCAAGGCATTAATTCGTATATATTTGATTCATCTGCAATGTGTTCATCTACTACCACTGTCACTGCCATGTCGTCACCATTGGTATCTCATTCTCATCAAATATCTACGGGCTTAAGCCATAATGCATTGCTTGCTGAATTAATTGATTATTTCAACCAGAATATGCCAACAGATAAAACAATTAAAAAAAGTTCAGACGAAATAATTGAATTCTGGTGAAAGTATGAACGACGTTGGCCAGTTATATCTGCGATTGCAAAAGATCTGCTGACACCTCCGGTTAGCACTGTTGCTTTGGATATGCTTTTATTGCAGGTAAAAGAGCTTTGAGCGAGGTTAGGAGCCGACTGAAAGAAAATATTTTAGAAACGTTAATGTGCGTTAAGGATTGCCAGGACGCTCATTTTCGACTACAAGATAAATATGCCGAAATTGCATGTCGTTAAGTAAGTGATATTTGATTTAATTATATTGATGAAACTTTTCTTTTATTATCGTTACTTTTAATTTTTTTTAAAAAATTGTACACGCTACAAAAAAAATTTCGTGTACAATTTTTAACTCCACCTACTAAAAATTTAAGTAGCTGGTCCCAAGCCCAAATAAAGGAAGAGGGTTTATATTTTATCTATTTTAAAAATAAAAATTAAAAAAATGATTTTTTTTATCTCTTTTAGTTAAAAAATAATAATAAAAAAATTCATTTCCACCAATTTAGTTAAATTTTTGTTAGTATTTGGTACTATTACTACTATATATCTACATTTTAAATTATTTTCTCGAATAACGTTGTGCGTACCTTTAAATATAATTTTTGAAGCAAATTCCTTCTGAAAATTAAAAATGTAATTGAATGATTACCCTTTTAATTGTCAGAAGTCTTTCACTTTGAAAATTATATATACTCTTCGAAGTGAAAGACTTCTATACAATCTTCGAAGTGAAGACTTCTGATAATTGAAAGGGCAATTGATTACCCTTTCAATTTTTAGAAGGGATTTTCTTCGAAAATTATATGCAAGAGGACGCGCAGCGTTGCCTGAAAAAATAATTTTTGATACTGTTTTAAATTTTCTTTAAAAAATTGTACACGAACAAATAAACAAATAACACAATTTTTAACTCCGCCTACTCTAAATTTAAGTAGTAGGTCCCAAGCCCGATGAGGATTTAAATTTTTTACCTAGTTTTTTTTTATATATAATTCACGATTTAAAAAGTAAAATTACTTTTTTATTTTTCAATTTACCTATTTGTTTCCAAAAATAAAACATAAAAATGGAAAAACGACGTCTGCTTGCGAGCCGAGCTCGGCTCGGCCCACGAGTTGCCCATCAGCCACGAGCTCGCCCATTTTTGGATGAGCCGAGCTCGTGGTTTATTGGCGGCTCTGCCCATTGACAACCCTATATAGAGTCATCCTTAGGATTTTGGGTTTCAATTTGGGATAATCTCATCCACTTCCGTAGAAACGATTTTGCCTTAATGACAGAAAGTAGTGTTTTAATTTGCAATACATGGTGATGCTACTAGAAAATTGTACCTGATAAACCGCGAACTTGTGGTCTGAACTTCGAGCTCGGATCTCACAAATGAGCACGAACAGTCTTCCGAGACCTGAAACAAAATGCAACTAGGTGTGTCCTCGTCGCCCCTGATGCTTAAGTCAGACAGGAGATTGATGAGAGAAGGTTTTTGAATTAGCAATAGTGAAAAGCGTACCTTGATGTTGAGCCTTGGCCAAGTATTATAGGTGTTGGTGGGGGAGCTGTAGAAGGATTCTATTACTGAAAGAGTCCTTTTCCCCTTAGGGCTAGGTGGGAGTTTAATTAGAAGTGTTTTGCTAGAGTTCTAATTAGGGAAGGAGTAGATTAAGATAGGATCTACTTTTTGGTGATTCAGCCGGTGGATACGTGCCAAGTTTAAGGCGGGAACGGTTGAATTAAAGCATAACCCCGATCTAA